CCCCCCCCATGTCATGAGTCTTCAACTAAGTGAAGAACTGAAGAATCATAACTTATTTGAACATCAGTCCATGCCATGTTTATCATACAAATAACACATTTATTCTATAACTGTAGCCATGCAAACATGCAGTTTTTTTTTCTACTACATTTCAGTGCCGTGACACACTGTACGTCGAGTCTTTCAATAATGCCTGCCTTCAATACTTGGACAAGAGGATTTTCTTCCGCACCCTTAACTATGGCCTAAGGATGAACTTGGCCATTCTGGACTGGGTATGTTTCTCCTGGTTACATCAGGTCATGCTGTAGGATAAGGATGTACACCCATGTAAAAGAAAGAAAGGAAGTGCAATCAGTACATTTATATATAGCTAATATTTCAAACTTGCTTGTGCACACATGGAAAATGGGAAGGACATACATACATGTAAAACATCAAACCTATGCCAATGCATCAAAACTATGCCAATGCAAGCAAAATGCAATCTACCTGGTATTCTAGCAAGGACAATGTTGAGAATTGCAAGGCAGGCTATACTAGGTAAATAACTACATGACTGTTGTGTGTTTCAGAACGAACATGTGGACCGCCCTGCCACATCGAGATCCAACAGGGTCAGCGTTGCCAACCCAAGGCAGAACAATGGGGGGAAGAGGGTCCTGTCTGCCAAGACCAACAACTTCCTGAGGGACCTGCTACTCACCTTCTTGCAGAGGGTGAGGACAGCAGGGGGACTACCTGACCTCCCCCAGGGCCGCAGGCGGAACGCCGATGTACAGGAAGATGGCGACCGGCTCTCAGACTCCTCGGACTACTCATCATCTGATGAAGAGGAGTAGGAATCAGGGGTTTTTGTCTTTGAAACAAATGTGACTTTCAGAGACTTTTTTTTTTAACTCGTTTCCCAAAATGTTTGGTTCCAGTTGTACAATAATGAGGGAGCATTATCACCATGTGAAGCTTTTGAAAATTTGAAGTTGAAATGGGGCATTTTAAGGCTACTTGAGGGGGGAAATTTGAACTCTTTGATTGTATGTTTCTTTGAAAACAAACAACTATGATTGTGAAAAAGGTCTGTTTACTTGAATTTTACAACACTTTCAAAGGCTCATAAGCTCTGAGGAAGGTGTCTGATAGACATCGAAACGTAAGCAGGTGAGAAAGTCTATGGTTGTGTAAGAAGAAAATTCTATACCCTAAGTATCTTCCAACCTGATGAAATTATTTACGGACTTTCAAAGGCTATTTTTGAAATATCAAGATTTAGACACTCACTCACACACTGACAGTCCTCTCAGCTTGCACAAAATTTACAATATGTTAGATATAATTCTCAATACAAATTTCCAGTACTATAATGTATGTAAAAGCCATACTAGAAGGATAGGTAGCCTAAAAAATTTCAAGTTTTTTTTCAGTATTTTCCTAAATTTCTATACATGCATTGCACATTATAAAATATATAAGTATAATCAACAATAAACACAATCTGCAAATCACCCTTTATACACTTACACAAGTAGTGATCAATGTTACTAGTAGCTCCAGATGACAACGTTGGGTTTGCAACATTGCAACACATTTATCCAAGCTGCTACAACTCAGGTCTATGTTTCACTATAGTATGCAAATGAAGAAGGCCCTAAGGCTACATGTCTTTGACTCAGTTTGAACAAGTTCTCAATGAATATTGTTTATTTCATTCAAACTTTTACTGACTAGAGCTAAATTTTCATGTTTGTGGTAATATTTTGGAATTTTTATGAGAGTAACATAGTTTGTAATGCTAGAATGCTAGAATATATTGTTATGTGTTGTTGTTTTTGTATTTTCACTGGAAAAAGATGATTTTGAAAAAGACTTAGGCTTCAATCTGAAATATGAGGGCGCTAGCTTGTTACATGAGGGTGCAGCGCCCTTGTTCCCCTGTTTAGAAAAACTCCTGCAATGCATTGTACCATCTCGATGAACTTGAACTAGAACATGAACTACAGTTGTATTGTAACCATGTAAGATTAGTAAAGAAAGATGATTGCACAGTTGTACAGTCTTCTAGTACATGAACAGAACATGGAGTAAATTGTTACTATGTAGGATTAATGGAAGTGAAGTGTGTAACAGTTTAAACTATGAGTATGAATGGACATTTATACGATAAGACACACTTTCACCAATCAAGGATATTTCACATTTTCAGGTCTATGATGTCAAGTTATTTCTTGGTTAGTAGTCACTAATGCTTGTTTGAAAATTATGCAAATTTGGTGTAAAAAAAACCTTACTGACACAGCTCTAAAACGTCTTGGAAACAATGATGTATCATCCTAGTGTTTATCATAAACCACCACGCCTCTTTCTAGGCTTCCTCTAGACTATGTATTTATGTGCACACACTAGATCTGTCATCCCTCCGTTGAATATTTCCGAAGCCGACAACAACGCACGAAAAAGATATGTTCTGACGTTACTATAATGCCATTGAACACTTGTCTTTCAAATTTGTTGACACTGACAGTATCCAAGTGCGTGATTAGCAGTTAGAACAGAAACGTGAAGATCCTATCGCAAATATATGCCATTTTGCAGATTCATTCCAAACACCTACTCCCCTATTTTCACCGTGGGCCGTCAGACTCAGAGTAAAAAATCTAAGCATAACAGCACAATTTGTTAGGCCGCACATGTAAACACGAGTGCCCTAAACACTGCACTAGCAGGCCGTATGTACAAAATCTGCTATTGAGTAATTTACCCAAGCATCTGAAAAGAAAATAAGTACACAACTTACCTCGGTGTCCAATGTGGTTCCTGCAAATTTGTTCCGAAAACGGCACGGCAGAAGTTTTCACTGTCGTCGTGATTCATATACGCAAATTATACGTAAACAACCAATTTTCTTCACCCGATATCGGCTTCTCCGTCAGCGATGCACCCCAAAAAAACCACTCCATGTGTACCTAGGAAATAGATAATTCTACGGAGTTCTTTTGTGTATTTCTAACCTTCTCTGTACGTCGTATCTACGGTTATTTGCGAGTAGGTTCCTCCTCTCGCGAAGCACGTCGTTTTCCAACATGGCGGCGTAAACATGAGGGAGCTCATTATGTATTCATGCCACGTGATTCCCCGCTCGCCGGCCCGCGCGACGCGACACTTCCCGCGGCGCTGTAATCTATTTATTGAGTCCGAGTCAATTTAGCCCCATGGCAAGATTACTTTATTGTAGGGCGCCCTGGTAGTGCGCCCAGGGTTCACACGATGCGTTTTTAAGTAAAGGGTCCTTTTTTCGTCATTTTGCACACATGGCTGCATGGAAAAACAGATTTTTCAAGGGTAACGGCTTACTACTTGCCTGACGAGAAGGCATATGCAACACACGTGCTTAACCTGACCCCAGCGCTGGTCCCAATGTTGCGAGCCTCGCTGGCAGGCCCCATGCTAGTACGCCTCGCAGTAGTGCGCCGTGTTCTTATCGCGTGGGAGGCGGGTCGGTCCTCGTGTTGTGGCAGACGCGCGGGAAGCAACAGCCTGAGTGCGATAATGGTGTTCTCTGTTTTCGTCAATCGTATCCTTGTCTGCCCAAGTTTATGTGTCGTTCTCCACCGAGTACAAAACGGCAGCATGTGTTTCACGCACAATTTCCCAGTCATAATAAACGCATCAAACATCAAGTCTGCAAGATGTTGTAGCTTAACTTTCAGCGATCCCTTGAGACGTTTCTTCTCGAGTTGGCTCTTTACGTCGATTGCGGCCATCGCCCCCTTATCCTTTCATTTATTTATTTCATTTATTTCGAAACCTTGCCGGGGAAATGAACATGATGGTTTGGCCAGTCCATTTTAATCCTCCTCGAAACACAACCATTAATGGTCTTATTGCGGCCACTCTTCTTACCTCGACGCCGCGACTTGGCACCTTGACTTCCCGTTGCCCGACGAGAAATAGACGCGAGGGCGGGAGCTGATGCGTCGAGGCATATCCCCCGTCGTCCGACGAAGAAGACAAGCGAGAGCGGCGAGAATTGCGGCCCACCGGAGACACCCGAGACGGAGAGCACAACATCGAGAGGCTGATCTGTCCGTCGTTTGACGGGACCTTTTTTAACGACGTTGACGTTCTCGTTTTCCCGAAAATCTCGTCCAAGGTCTGCTCCACCCGTCTTGCCAACGCCTTATCTTCGCGGAGGTCCAGCACAGTTGTTGCCTGTTCCCCATCGCTCGCCTCTGACCTTCGCTAGTTCCTTAATTCAGCTCTTCTGCCGCAGCTTTTTCAGAGACCGCCGAGCCTTATCAACACGGCGCCTGTCCGCGTCGCTGCCCGAGGCGTCTGCCGATGACGGTAGGCCACGCCGCATTTCCCGGGGCCATATAAGGACCAACGTGCCCTCTCATCGACAACCTGCAAACGGTTCAGGCTTTAGGTTTAGATGTCGCGAAACCGAGAACGCAGAGAACGCAAATAACACTGAAAGTAGAGAGAGCAACGTGCGCGCCTTCGCCTAGCTCCTGGTCGAGTGTAAGAGTTGAAGACGAGACCACATGTGGCCGGGCCGTGGGCTGAAGCGAAAGGGGGGCTAACAGGAAGACAGGGATGCTGAGCTCACACGGCGGTCAGCTTGTCTTGCAAATTAACAAACATGACGTGGATGACATTTTTCCTCAATTAAAATCGATGCGACAAGTTTACGCTATCTTCGATGACCCAAACACACCCACAACGTATATAGAACGCACCATCTTGGCGATCAGGTGAAAAGGCTATATTCGCTGGACCACCAACATTACGCCACATACAAAGGCTACAACTAACAGGCTTTTTAAAGATAATGTAAAGAGCTAGTACGATATCAGGGATATCGCGACCCGAATATAC